TTCATTTGGGATCAAATGAAAACGACAGCCGGCAGATATCAAACAGTTTTCGAAAACTTCTAATATTGCATTATGGGCTGCTTTCTCAAAGTCTAAATGAATAATTTATTGAATCTATAAAGGTTTTTCGTGGAATTTAAAAATAATTGTTTATTTTTAACCATAGGTAGGTACGTCAAAATAAGCTTGTTGAGATTTTGTTTCCATAAAAACAAATATAATTGGTAGATAAAATCCATTTATGTATTATGTTTACACGAACTGTATATAATTGTAGGAAATGTTTAGGTGCGTATAAAAAAGAACCATCAGCATTTAATACATGTTGTGCATTATTTAATAGAGGCAATTTATTAACAGTTGTAAAAATAGGAATACTATCAACAGAGACGAACAGACTCCATAAAACAAAATTGCTCACCCTTTGACAATTATAATTCAGTTTTACTTTTATATAATATCATAGATTTTGATTTTAACAGAGACTTTCGAACCTTTGGAAATAATTTTAACCTCGCTTCTTACATACTTTTACGAAATAAATGCACGTCAGCATTATCGAGGTTACCTGATTCTTGACAATTACGAAGTTCTTGTCTTATGAGTTTGTTTGGTTTCGCATTTAAATCTACTGTTGCCTTCCTTTTTAATACTGACATTGGTTTATAAGGAACGTAAACCTACACAAAGACCTTCAGATCCAGGAAATCACAGACCATATTAAAACCTCATTAAAAAACTTCCATATCTCACTGCTCAACTTCCCTGGCTCACTTCACTATCAACTCCATGTATACATCCGCCTCAACGTAGATTAAAACGTGGACGTCCGCATGACCTTCTGGTGTAACAGCTCCACATTATATAGTAGCTGTTGCTATTTGTAGCGTCAATATCAAGCTATACAATTTGTCATTATTATATCTGTTATACCTACTATCATATTGTAATAATTATTTCAATATTGTTATTGTTATACAATTACTATTATTATTACTTAAGTTATCATAATATTATAATTGTTAAAAATGTACCATTATTATATCACTAGATGTAGATAGCCATGGCTAGGAACATCTTATTTATTATTAAAAAAAAAAAAAAAATAAAAATAAAAATTCTGACATTATTTTTTGCTTTGTAAGGGTTTCTCCTTGGAGAGCTTCATGATTGTGGTCTCCATAAATAGAAATTACGAATTTTAAATTTGAGGTTATTTTTGCTGTTGTGTTATTGTTACGATTAGTACAGCAAACATTTATACTGTCTTTATTTATTATAAATTCGCTAAATTTAAAACTATGAATTATAACTTAGGTTTTACCACGACGGGTTTCAAAAACTTCAGTCACTAACATCGAAACTATTCACAATAGTCAATGACACTGAAGACAAACTGAGACATTTTTTATACTGATTGAATAAAGAAATTTATATGTATATATATATATATTTATGATGCTGTWATAAAGATTGTTATAGTCTAGATAACAAGTATTAGATTCATGTATATTTGTGGTCGCTTATACAGTATAAGCGACTACGAATATAYAGTATAAATKGTACTACGATAGTAATTGATAATTGTAAAACAATTAAAATATAATTGATATTAATTGGTTCGGCGATAAAATATCGAGCAATAAATGAGTATACTACTATCGTTCTAGGCTACTATTGTAGACCACGCTTATATGATGTGTTCCCAAACGAGTCTTGTATATGTGTACCCAAAAGTTCTCTGGTTTAACAGGTAAAAATCATAAAATACCTTTTATTCTATGTGTCCAAACGTTGTATCTATTTGTACCCAAACGTGTCAGTTTTTGGGTCAATGTACCTAAACTTTTTTTACCCACAAGTATATAATAAATCTGTTTTTTTTTTTATTAGACTCTCATAGACAAGGGCTACATGTATTTTAATTTGTAATTTTATTTTATTTCTTGGTAAAAAAGTTTAAAAAAAAATGATTTTTTAATTTTTGAAAAAAATAAAGGTACATATTTTATAGTTTTATCTTGCTGAAAATGTTGACCTTTCAACATTTTATTTTCATTAATTACATGATTTTTAATAATTTTTTTAGTTTATAGATAAAACGGCAAAAAATTGGTTTTTATCTAGGCAGCCAGTCCCTCTCTTCGGCTAATGGATATATCCTCACGCGACATGCTGTATATCATATTWAAAAAAATKTTGGGGGTAGAGTGGCCGAGCGGACAAAGACGTTGGTTGCGAGTGTTGCGACGCGCGCCGTCGCCGGTCCGAATCTCAGTCACGGGTGGCATCGCTCTTCGGGCATTTCGCGGTGTCTGGAGAGRGAGGCCGCCGCCCCCCAACCGGGCATGACAGAAACCTACGGGTGCCCATTCAAAATTCTGCAGAAACCCATGTGTTAAAACCTATAGTACCTTCCCTTACAATTCCCCAGGCTAATGA